CTACAGTTTCACTTCAGACAGATAGGCTAGGAGGTGCTGAATACCCTAATTTCAAGCGGTTTTTTGTGTGCCTAGATGGGAATAGAAGAGGTTTCATTGAAGGGTGCAGGCAGTTCATTGGACTTGATGGGTGCCACCTAAAGGGCCCTTATAAAGGAGTCTTACTTTCAGCAGTTAGCATTGATGCGAATTATGGAATCTACCCTTTGGCAATAGCTGTAGCCGACAATGAAAATAAAGATTCGTGGAAGTTCTTTTTAGATAATTTGTATGACCAAGTGGGCTGTAACGGCGGTGAAGGAATTTGCTTTATGAGCGATAGACAAAAGGGTATTTTAAATGCCTTATCTACAATCTTCCCTAATGGTCTTAAAAGATATTGTTGCAGACACATCTATGCAAACTTTAAGAAGAAGTTTTCGGGTGAGCTTTTGAAGAAAACGTTTTGGAGGGCTTGTAGGAGTTCTGATGTGACTGGATTTAATTCTAGCATGGAAGAACTAAAGTCAGTGTCTCCTCAAGGTCATGAGTGGTTAATGAACATACCCACAGTTTGTTGGGCAAAACATATGTTCTCAAAACACACAAAGTGCAATCATGTTACTAATAACATGACAGAATCTTTTAACAATTGGATTGGGAATTACAGAAGTATGCCCATTGTTCGTATGTTTGAAGAGATAAGACGAAAGATAATGAGGTTAATCCACAAGAGAAATATGGCTGCCCAAGAGTGGAAAGGTGAGCTACCGCCGATTGTAAGAAGGAAAATTATTGAGAATAGAGCTAATGCTAGGTCATTGTCTGTGATATTTGGCCAAAAAAATACATTTGAGGTAATGAAAGATATTTCCAATATAAATGTGGTGGATTTACAGGAGAAGAAGTGTGCTGCATGAAATGAATAATATCTGGCCTCCGGGCAAACATGCAATATGTTGTATTGATGCTAAGAGGTATCGTGTAGCTACTGAAGAAGGAATCTTTCTTGGCAACTTACAAGCACTAGCTCAATCTTGTCCCTGATGAGAAGAAATGGCCCCTAGTTCTTGAAGACAACTTGCAACCACCTGCCATTATTAGGGCAGTTGGCAGACCTCAACTCAAGAGAAAGAAGGAAGACGGTGAATGCTCTTCATTCAAACGAAGTGCAAGCGTTAGGTGCTCAAAATGTGATCAATGGGAACACATCAAAAGAACATGCACGATGGTAAAGAAATACATGTAAATAATTTTAAGTTTTAACCATCACATTTGAAAGTTAATGTGGAATGAGAGTCACTTTTTTTTCTTTATAGGTATCCACCTCATCCAAGGGACCAAGGACATCTGAGTCTCAGGCAACAACCCATGATATTGGTAAGTTGTATTATCATTGAATATTTTATTAAGTTAAAGTGTTTATAGTCATTTAAAGCTTGCAATATTTCACAATAATTTACAGGGCAATGAAATCCAGATTGATACGGCTGACTAGAGATGAAGCATATATTCAGCAGACTAGTTAAATATATTTAACCCGAATTAGTAGTTTTGTTGGCATGGGGATAAGATGTTGCAACAACTTTGATGCATTTCAGTGAAAATGATGTTGTGGCATCTTCTACTTAAACTAACTTGTAGTTTGAGCGTTTTGCTGTATTTAGCTGGATTTTTTTTGCTAAAACTGGTCATTTATGGCTTTATGCACTTTAGATGCCAAAGTGTTATGTCTCTTTTTGTAAAGGGTGTTAATAGAATATATCATCCTAAACAATGTTCTATTTTCTTGATTATGTCAGTTTTTGCTTACCTTAGTCATCTAGTGGGTTAGTTGTTGATGTTATGTATATTCAGTGTGATTTACTAATTCTATTTGTTCCCAAAGTTGCGTAGTATTTCAGATTTTAACAGAAACATTGCATTTGAAACTGATGTGACTAATGTAGGTTATTTTTTGGTCTTCAAAACTCTGCATTTCTGGGATTTAAACAGAAACATTGCATTTTAAGTGTTAGTCGTTTTTCGCTGTGTTGTGCCTCTCAACAAGTTACAGATTGACCCTCTTCAAATCTCTTCCAAAAATCCAAAACTCTCATCACTCCCTTATTTCCTCATCTGGGTGTCTCTGTTATCCTCTCAGATTACATTTTCTTTCTTGACACAAACTCTATTGCTTCCCTTTGTACTCGACCACTAATCTAAAAGAACGAGGAGAACTGCAAATAAAGTACAGGTTATCTCTGGAAGATTTGATTTAGTATGATGTGTCAGGCTTTTGTTTCATTTAGTTTACCCATGCCGTTAAAAGCGCAGTTATCTTCAAGAATTCATTTGAATGTCTTCCCGATTGAATTTTTAGTTGAAATTTAGTATGAGTAAACTAGACTTAATGAATAAGATGCTCAAAAAATTTCATCAAAAAATTCTACCGGGAGCCACCTCAAATGGCACGTCCGGACAGAATCTTCTATATAAGGACTTATTTGACCCCTTTTTTGCAACTTCGAGGACCAAACTGACCCTTTACTCAATAATATATTGATACTTTGTATCAAAGTGTCAAATGGTTAAATCTCAAGGGAGGTTTAACGGAGGTATGTAAAAATATGCTCATTTTGCTTTTAAATTGTTAAATGTGTTTCTATTAGAGTAGTGTTTTATTTCCTCATGTGCCTAAAAAGTTATCAACTCATTCTCATATAAGATGTCACGATGGTGTTCAATCAGCTTCATCCCTTTCCCTTTGTTGGGTTGTCTCATTAATGCTCCGTTCAATCAGCTTCATCCTTTCGGGCTTCATCCCTTCGCCTTCTTCCCCATTCTCTTCTCTCTGATCCACGGCCTTAATGCCCATGGACGCTCTTCTCTCCGTCAAGATCAGTACTAATTTTATTGATTTTTATTTATTTTGGAAAACTAGAATTCGTTTTGGTTTTGTAGTCAATATGGAATTCACCTACTCGCATCAATGATATGGATTTGATGCCTAATTTTAATCTTGATTGCAATATCACTGTTTAATACTGGCATGGCAACGGGTCGGGGCAGGGCGGGTACTGCAAGACCCGCCCCGTGACTTCACTGGGTGGACCTGCCCTGTCCCGTGACCCGCACGGGTCCGAACTTTTTGACCTGTGACCTGCCTCTTGGGGGCAGGTCCGTCCTACCCCGTCGTCACCTATTTAGCTAGTATGCATTTCTGTTTGTGTGAAGTTGTTACCACTTGAATCTACACGAAGTTTATCTCTAGACAATTATTTAAAAAATCAATATATATATATATATATATATGTGTGTGTGTGTGTGCGTATATATATATATATATATGATTTTTGCAAAAATCATTTGACGACCTTCTCGATAGGGGTGGGATCGGTCCGGTCTGGGTCGGGTTTTTGCTAAACCCGGAAATTACCCGGAAGGTCTCGAGTTATGAAAATTAGGGACCGAAATAAAGCTCATTATATTCGGTCCGAGTCGGGTTTTTGGTAGCCTGGGTTCGGTCCGGGTTCGGGTTCGACCGGTTAAAGCCCGGACGTGAAATATGTCATTGTTCTTTTATATTTTAACACTTATTTTCAAATAAAATTAATCAAAAATACAAACCGCAAATAATAACACAAATATTAGTCTCCAAAATCACCAACAATTCAAATTTAAAGAAGATAATTATCTTAATATTTTATGTAAGATGTATATATATAAATAATATAGGTTTCTTAAAAATATTACGACTTTTATAAATAAAAAAGTTACTAGAGTTGCTATAAATATATTCTCATGGTCATCATTACGCTAAACAAATTCAACATATTTGTAGTCACTAAAAGTTACTAAATCTTTTTTTATCCACCGTGATTATAATCATATATTATGAAATATTTTATTTATATTCATATACTATATTAATTTAATATTAAAACTAATTGTTTCGGGTTTTTTCGGTCCGGGCCGAGTTATAGATTTTAAGGCCCGTTAAAGAGCCCGTAATTTTCGGTTCGGTCAGTTTTTTTTAATTCGGGCCGGTTAAAAAGAAAAAACCCGGACCGGGATCATAATTCGGGTCGGTCCAGGGTCGGTTTCCGGGTTTCGGTTTGGTTTTTCCCACCCCTACTTCTCGATTGAATTTTTTGCTGAAATTTGGTATAGATGAACTAGACTTGATGAGGAACATACACAAAAAAATTGAGCAAAAAATACCACCGGGAAGGTCTCCAAATGGAGGAGGCCGGACGGGGCTCCTGTCCGGAAATCCTGATATATATATATATATATATATATATATATATATATATATATATATATATATATATATATATATATATATATATAGAGAGAGAGAGAGAGAGAGAGAGAGAGAGAGAGAGAGTGCTCTTCATGTCAGGCCGGCCTGACGGGCTGGCCCGTCCGGCCGAGCCCGTTTGGGCACCTTCCCGGTGAAATTTTTTGATGAAATTTTTTGAGCATGTTCCTCGTCAAGTCTAGTTTGTCCATACCCAATTTCAGCTCAAAATTCGATCGGGAAGGTCGTCAAATGATTTTTGCAAGTTAACTGGTCCGGAATATGTATTTTCCTTAAATACATATTCGTTAAATTCGATTGAATGTCCTCAGTCCGGAATATGTATTTTCCTTAAATGGGCCTAAACATTACATACTCACTCCTAATTTAATTAATTGATGCGTAGTATAATTAATTGTCCCTAGTTCCCCTTGCACTACCAAAGTCATTTTGTTGATGGCGGATCAGTCTGATGACAACAACAGGGAACTTCGGTGAGAGAGGCGGACATGCACTTCAGTAGCGGCGATCTAGGTGAAAATTCCGATGACCAGCTATGACGGTCCGCATTTAAAAGTCTATGGACTTTTTGAAAGTCAATAAACTTATCCATAGATTTAAAAGTCCATAGAATTCATTCATAAAAAAAGTTTATGGATTAAAAAAAAGTTCACCACAATCCATATTCGATACACCCCTTAGCTTTACCATCTCAACTAGAGTTTTTTCTAACCAGAGAAGATGTCGTTAGTAGTCCGGGTTAGACTTTCGTCCCCACACAATTACTCCCTCGTCAAATGACACGACTGAGGACATAGAGCGGTTGAAGAGGCATACGACGCTTGAAGTGGCAGAAGACTACTACGGCAACAATTTAGCTGTAAGTTATTTGTCTCAAATTAATTTTGGAAACTTTATATTGATAGCGGTCTCAGAAAATTACTTCAATATCAGAATAAGGACCTTATTAGTAAACTAATGAAGAGTATTATGATTGAAACTTTTTGGAGAGATTTCATCCACTACTAAGGGGGTTTGAAATTGATTCTGATTTTACTTCTTTTATAAAGCAAAAGCAGAAATAGAAGTAGAATCAAAATCATTTGTTGGTCTCCTCTAGCTTCCATAAACGCTTCTTCTAGGAGTAAATTAGAGCATCATAAATACTTTTTCACTTTTACTCATACACTCCAGCTTTTGCTTCTGCTACTTAAAGGAGTAGAAGTGTTGATGCGGGAATTTGACATCTTGATCTACATTCAAAAGGCTTGACCGTGACAATTAATGACACATTTATTAGGATTAATGATAGCTGATTAATTCTAGCGGTTTATGTGTATTATGAGAGTTATCACTGTAATTAAGGCGTAGGTTACTCAAATGGCTGACCGGAATTTATGATGACATAATGACGATTTTGATGTCGTCGTAACGGTCGAAACCGTCAATAACAGGCAAAAGGAGATTAAATGTCTCTCTTATAAATAGAACCGAGCTCCATTGTATTCAGAGGTCACTCATTTGAATAATACTCTAATTTTCACTCTATTTTGCTTACTTGACATCCTTCTTGTTGTTCTTGTCATTTTCCTTGAAGTTCTTGTACGAAACCCAATCAATATACAATTTCTATTTTAATTAGTTTCAGCTTGTCAAAGTTTTGCTAAAACAAGAAGCAATTTTAAGAATATATCTAAACAACCCCCTATCTTAACCTATTATAACAAAGGACAGCTCTCTTGCACTTTGCTTTATCATGATATACATTGTGCTTTTATTTTTTTTAGTCAAACAAATAAAAAATGAAAATAATTAGTTTACTGAAATTAAAAATGTTACTGAAAATCAAGAATACTAATTTTTAGATAATTTTCAGATTCATCCTCTATTATATAAGAAGATTGTAAGAAACTTATGAGCGCATTCATAATGGGTTCCATATATTTATATAACGGTTGTTTGATAGTAGTTAGGAGGTTTAATCCTGATTATATTAGGAATTTGAGTATATTTCAAAGATAGTTAAGTTATTTTTTAAAACATGTTACACAAAATTTAGGAAATATTAAAATTTAGTTTTATTTTAAAGAAGCAAGACAACCCATTAAAAAAGTCAATACAGATGAAAGATGCTTAAATTATCCCTTAAAAAAAGATGCTTCCTAAAAAGATGCCTCCTAAAACTATGCTTCCTAATTACGTAGTATTACGGAAACAAAAATGCTAAAGGTACCCCAATTTGTACCTTCATTCTATTTTTGTGGCTCACAAAAGCAACTCATTAAAGTGGAGCAATTCGTTTATTGAAGTGGGCTTTTGTGAGCCACACAAATAGGTTGTGGTACAAATTGAGGTACAAAATGGGATACCTAGAGCAAGGTTGTTACGGAAAAGCAGTTGGATGGTGCGCCTAGCAAGATAACTACATGACCCAGGATATAGATGCCCATCTTTGACCAAAAGTAGGTGCGCATAGCCATAAAAGTGGCCCGGGGAGCAGGAGCGTTGTTTAATTGATAAAAGTAGGGAAAACTATCAAATAAGCCCTCGTACTATACTGAAAAAGTCGATTAGGCCCTTTTACTTTACAAACACTCAATTAAATCCTCGAACTATTAAAAAACGTTCAATTAAGCCCTTTCGGTTGGTAAGTAACCAGTTTCCCGGTTAAATGTAACCAGCTTCCCGGCAGCAGCCATTGCTGGGGTTCGAGCACATCGCCGCCGTCGTCGCTATTTAACTGGGAAACCGGTTACTTACCGACCAAAAGGGCTTAATTGAACGTTTTTTAATAGTTCGAGGACTTAATTGAGTGTTTGTAAAGCACGAGGGTCTAATCGACTTTTTTGACATAGTACCAGGGTTTATTTGATAGTTTTCAGGCGAAAGTATGGATTTCTTATCAATTTTGCCTTTTTATTTTCGCAGCAGTTCAGACTTCCAGTATTGCCCTTCTCATCTTCTGTCAAGTTTGGAGTTTAGCCAAAATCGTTTACCCGCCAGGCCGCCATACCAAGCTGTTTCAGCGCTTGCGGAGTTGCAAACTTGCAGAGTTCAAATAGATGCTCAGGATTAAGAATATACTAGGTCAACTTCTTTCCTATGGCCTTAAATCCCATCAAGCGTTTTAACGGTTCCATAATGCATTGCTAAAATTTGTGCGCTAAAGATATTTGATATATTGATTTGACGAATACAAGTTTTTTTTTTCCTGTTTTTGTGGTTTACCTATTCTTTGCCTTCTCTGGCACGGTTGGCACCATTTACCATTCAGCAAGATATATTAATGCCCATTAAGTTTGGTCATACTCCGTAGTTGTTAATGCAAAGTTCCATTTTATTTTAGTACCCATCCCGTTTTTCATGATTGCTTCATTTTTAAGGGACATCAGTGTGAGGCCCATGGATCCTGACCCTAATTTGCCTGGTAACATTGTAACATAGAACATAGAACATAGAACATAGAACTTGCTGTTCTGTAGATACTACGGGGTATTATATATATATATATATATATATATATATATATATATTGCATTTTCACGTAAAAGCAACATTATGTGATTTGAAGAAAGTTGATTACTTGTGAGTTGTGAGCACTGTTGTAAAAGTGCTATGTAGTTTTCTGTGGCTGAACACCTAACGGGGGATTACTCAAGTTAGGTGAATAGTTGGGGCTGGGGACTTTTTATGACGGTTATTGGAAGATAATAAAATAACTCTTTAGCTGGGAGAGTATTCGGATTCTTGGAAATAATTCTTCTACTCATAAATTGATAAGAACTATTCCATATAGACATGAAAAGAGGGACCAGAAATGCTTGAAATGTAATATAGATAAATGCAATATTGTAAAATAGGAGGGCTCAGGTGAGGTATTTTGGGAGGGGGAACTGGCACAGAGAAATCATCTGAATGATTTTTTATTACCTTCATGAATTTATAGTGCTAATTAATTTTACGAATTTTTACTTCACTATAAATTTCATGATACTGCCCCCAACATAGTGGAGATTAAGGTGATGTTGATGAGACATCAACTTGTTAATTTGCTAGTTGATTTTGGTTACCTCATTGTTCTTTTGCAGGATGTTGGCAGTCTGCAAGGATAGGTATGTTTCAAAGACTTGGACACTCTTTCGGATTCATCATCAAACCTATTTAACTAGTAGGAATTACAATCTTAAATCATTGAGTGGTATTGAAGTAAACAGTGAAGAGATTGTAACTAAACTCCATTCTTGCACTGAGTTCTATACTGCAAAATGCTTTCATGCCCTTCTTATTGTATTAGGAGAGGTTCAGAGTGTTCATGCTGGCACTAGACTTATAAATGTTTATGCTCGCCTGCGGAATATTTCTCTTTCTCGTTGTAGTTTCGATCAGATTGAGAAGAAAAACACCTACACTTGGAACTCAATGATATCAGCATATATTCACAATGGCAGACTACGTGAAGCTCTAAGCTGTATATATCAAATGTTGTCATCTCATGATGCTCGGCCTGACTTTTATACTTTTCCACCTATTTTAAAAACCTGCCACAATGTATTTGATGGAATGAGGATTCACTGCTGGGTTTCAAAACTAGGTCTGGAATGGGATGTATTTATAGCTGCCTCTTTGGTGCATATGTACTGTCGTTTTGGATTTTGTGATGGTGCTCTCATGATTTTTAATGATATGCCCTTCAGGGATATGGGCTGTTGGAATGCTGTGATTTCTGGGTTCTGTCAAAATGGGAATGCTGAAGGTGCACTGTGTATCTTAGATAAGATGAGATCGGTTGGCATTAAAATGGATGGAATGACTGTAGCAAGCATTCTTCCCATTTGTGTTCAAAAGAATGATATCCTACGTGGGGTGCTAATTCATTTATATGCCCTAAAACATGGGCTAGAATGGGGGGACATATTTGTGTCAAATGCACTGATAAACATGTATGCCAAATTCGGCGAGTTGGGGCAGGCGGAAAAGCTCTTTAATCAAATGGTGGTTCGAGATTTAATCACTTGGAACTCAATGGTCTCTGCGTATGAGCAAAACAATCAACCCAATAAAGCACTTAAATGCTTTTCAGAGATGCAGCTAAGTGGATTTGAACCTGATTTAATAACACTAATGACCTTAGCTTCAAGTATTGCCCAGACTAAACATATTGAACACAGCGCAACCATTCATGGGTTCATCCTAAGGAGATGCTGGATACTTGAAGATATTGTGCTAGGTAATGCAATTGTGGACATGTATGCCAAAATGGGTTACATTGACTATGCACGTGAGGTTTTCTATAATCTGCCTTGTAAAGATGTGGTTTCTTGGAACACTATCATCACAGGCTATGCGCAGAATGGCCTTGCAAGTGAGGCCACTGAAGCCTACTCCTTGATGAAGAATTGTAAGGGAATTACACCCGATCGAGGAACGTGGGTCAGCATTTTGCCGGCTTATTCCCATTTAGGGTCGTTGAGAGAAGGGATGAAGATTCACGGACAGGTATTTAAGGTATGTCTTCACTTAGATGTCTTTGTGGGCACTTGCCTGATCGACCTCTATGGCAAATGTGGGAGACTTGGAGAAGCTATGTCTTTGTTTTATGAAATTCCCAGGGATAATTCGATCCCTTGGAATACCATGATATCTTGTCAAGGAGTTAACGGGCATGGTCTAGCTTCTGTTTCACTATTTAGAGATATGTTGGATGATGGGGTTGAACCAGATAGTGTAACATTCTTATCAATCTTTTCTGCCTGCAGCCATTCTGGTCTGGTTGATGAGGGAAAACGGTACTATGATTTGATGCAGCAAAAGTTTGGGATAAAACCCAGTCTAAGGCACTATGGGTGTATGGTTGATTTATTTGCTAGGGCTGGGCAACTAGAAATGGCATATGATTTCATTACAAAGATGCCTTTACCGCCAGATGCTTCGGTTTGGGGCGCTCTTCTCAGCGCTTGCAGAGTTTATGGAAATGTTGAGTTGGGTAAGTTGGCCTCTGATAACTTGTTTTCGGTCAACTCAGAAGATGTTGGGTACTATGTTTTGTTATCAAACATTTATGCAAATTCAGGAAAATGGGAATGTGTGGATGAAGTGAGATCATTAGCAAGAGACAGGGGATTAAGGAAGACCCCAGGGTGGAGCTCTATTGAAATAAGGAATAAGATTGAGGTTTTCTATACAGGTGGTAATCAGTCTCATCCGCAGTATAAGAAAATATATGAGGAGCTGGGAATTTTAACTGCTAAAGTGAAAACCCTTGGCTATACTCCAGACTTCAGTTTTGTGCTGCAAGACGTCGAGGATGATGAGAAGGAACACATTCTTGCAAGTCACAGTGAAAGATTTGCAGTCGTGTATGGACTTCTCAATACTCCTCCTAAAAGCTCAGTGTGTATTTTCAAGAATTTACGCATATGTGGTGATTGCCATAATGTCATCAAGTTCATGTCAAAGGTGACTGAGAGAGAAATTGTGGTGAGAGACTCCAATCGCTTTCACCATTTCAAGGACGAGATTTGTTCTTGTGGGGATCATTGGTGACCGTACGTCTTGATTATGAATTTAGAAGGTCCACTGAAGGATTTATCCATTTCTCTATAAACTCTGTGTAAAGATATCACACTTTCTTGTTTTGAGATGTTAAATCCAGGTACTTTCAGCTTTCACTTCTCAGTACTCCATGGCTTTATTGAGACCCCCTCAATGGTTATAAGCATTGGCTTCTTTATTAAAGTGTATAATTAATTTCCATTATTAAAAAGTAATACTACGTAATATTTTAGGCAAAGGGCTTTACCTTACAATCACTTCCTTGCTTTATTGGGGGCCAAGGTAAAGTTTTCCTAATTTATAAAGAAAATTGCTTGCGATTTTTTTCGTTTTAGATGTGTTTTGCCTATGGTTTCTTTCTTCCTAAAATGGACTTGATTAAGGTGGGGGGGGGGGCTCAAAAGCGTAAGAATGGAGGCTGTTTCTGACTTTCTGAATTCCGTTTTCGAGTATGTTTGGTTAGGGAGAGGATAGGGAACAGTTAAAAGAATTTCCATATATGGTGTTTGGTTTTGCTTGGGCCATTTGAAAAGTGATTGTATTCCTTAAATTATTGAAAAATGTTTAACCATAGAAATATCTAGTGTACTAGTGTTTAAATGTAAAAGAAATTTTAAAAAACAGAAGTTGGGGTGTATGGTAGAGAGAAGTACTCCCTCCGTCCCTTTGAAAGGCTACCACTTTCCTTATTTGGGTGTCCCATTTAAAGGTTCACATTCCATTTTAGGAAATAATTTACTCTCTTTATTTACACATATACTCAAAATTCTCTTTCCTACTCATTACATGTCAAGTCTCACAATTTTTCCTTCCCCAACTTATCTCCATGTAATTACTTTCACTTTATGTGTTTACTTTTTCTAAATTTTATCTTCTCTTTTTTTACCCAAATTACTTTATTTAACCACTTGCCTAAAAAATTGCGCCATTTACCTATGGGAACATTCCAATGGGACGGAGGAAGTATAATTTTAGAGAACATGATGGATAGTTATAAATACTGTCTTTCTTACTATTTTTTTTTGTTTTAGAGCCCTAAAAGTAAGGGGTGTTGTCTGTTTGGTTTGTCGGTTTCTGTTTTGTCGTTTTAGTTTAGGTAGGTCAGTGTTGAGAAATGCAGAACCAAGAACTGGATTGAGTAGCCTTATGTCCGTTTGGATTCTGTTGTTTTTAATCGGTTTGTATCCGTTTTGTTTGGTTTATGTCTCTTTCAGCCAGTTTTAGTTGGTTAGGTCGTTTTTATGCGCAAACCACCTGACCCTGACGTGGTTTTCATTGGTTTGTCAGTAGGTTTTGCTTAATCTATTCTTTTGTTTATTAATCTAAAAGTTAAGAAACGGCATAAACTTAGGCTCTCTGCTTTTAGCTTATTTTTCAAATTAAAAGGACAACAGCACTTAAAAAAATCTCACAAAAATTTTTGAATTGAAGTTTTTGAAGGGAAAGAATTGAAGGGAAGGAAATATTTAACATCTATCTGTTCTCAATTTTTGAACAGATAATGGAGAACTTTAATACCCTCACCAGCTAAAACTGTCACCAGCTAAAACTGGGAAGTGGGAAACCAAACATACTCATAGTGTCTTTTTGAAATCTGAGAAATACCATGATGCTAAATATGGATGAAGTTTAGTGTAATTTTTTTAATGAATTCATCTCCAACATTTTTTCAAAATCATTTTATTAGTTATTTGTACTATACTTCGTTCTTCAATTGTTGCAACACTTTGACTTCACACTCTTCAGTCTTCACATACTTCACTCTGAGTACATTTTATTGTTTAATGTTTTTTTTCCATCATTTATTAATGTATTAAAAAATTACGGAGTATTTTTTAAGAAGTATTACTATATCTAAAATTTGTCTCAAAGTAAAATTTCATAACATGATTTATTTAATACGTAGTAATATATACTAATAGCTAACTAAATATATTAATAGTCAAGTCGTGTGTTGTAAAACATGAAATTCAAACTATTGCAGCTAAATAAGAATAGAGGCCAGTTTATTCCTCCAAAAAACAGAACAGAGGCAGTCTAAAGAGTATTGCTGAAAGGAATCCGAAGTTGTTATATGTTCATTGGTATCTTTATATTGAGCTAATCTCAAGTTTCACTAAACTCAATTCGACAATTGCCAAAGACCTTACATCCAGGGGCGGATCCACCATGGGGGCAGCCGCCCCCACTCAACCCCCACCCAACCCTTATATATATATCAAATATAAAATTATATATGTACATAGGTATTAAATATAAGTATATTAAACATTATAAACGAAGGTTGTAATTATGAGTAGCCGCAGTAGACTGGAGATGGATTTTACGTGTGTTTCCGTAGCCTTGTTGGTTTAGGGTTCGATTCTCACCATCAGCGTTTTCCATTTTGTTTTACTTTTGCATTTCTAAGCTCCCACCCAGTTCGATTCTCACCTTCAGCCTTTTCATTTTGTTTTACTTTTGCATTTCTAAGCTCCCACCCTGTTGAATTCTCACCTTTAGCCTTTTTGATTTTGTTTTACTTTTGCATTCTTAAACTAATTTAAAGCTACTTTAGAGTTTAGACAATTGTATTTTAAATTTGGCTTATTTAAACTACTTCAATATAATTATAGTTTAACAATTGTATCTTTACATTTAATATAAATTCATTTTTAAGTATGCTTGTGCATTCACAATATAAGTTAATTCTAAATAAATATTTGATTCATTTCTTATTTGATTCTTATTGATAATATAATTTTGAATAAATTACAAACTATGTGATTAATTTTGTTTAGCAAAGTAAAAATTTATCTGGCATGAAATTTTAAGTTTGATATCGTAATAGTTTTGTCCCACCAATATTTTGTTATTTTTAATTGATTTTACACTTTTTTGTATTAATGTGGTCATTGTTCATGACATGTGTGATATAACTAATGCAAATTCGCCCCCACTGACGAAAATTCCTGGACACGCCACTGCTTACATCCACATTTTACACTTCAAAATAATGTGCTCAAATGAGCTCAGAATTATTAATATAAAGACCATAAGATCCAAATATATGTTAAAAATTAAAAACATCAGCTCTACTTCTCTTGACGAATCGACATGATTTCATGTTAAAATTAATCATGCGAAAATACCATTTTCCTCCTTTCACTACTCACTAACATGTTCCGAGATACAAGCATGCCAATTTTCAGAAAAAGACATTTCTGGGTCTGAGTATTTCTTTGAGCATGCATGTTCTGCATTTCTATTATAAGCACAATAATATTACTCATCAACAACTTTTGTTAGAGTAACAGTCCTGGATGAGATATTTCTACATACATGAGATATTACTCATCAACAACTTGCTATTATTTGTATTTAACTATATGCTATTGGGACTGAATTAAATTTTGGGTTGAGAAATTGATCATGGATGTTATGCTACGCTAGTGGTTAATTTTCAATCATACATGGGTGTTTCATATGAACTGAAAGTAAACTACTTTTAGCATAGTCTTGAGTCGGTTAGTTTAAAAGATTCAATGTGCAAAAGTGTCCATTGTGTTAGAATATACTCAGGTGAAGAAGCGCTCCTTATTTTTTTCTTCGTCCCCATATATTTTTGTTTTTTATGAATTGACACTGTAATAAGCTGTGTTGGCAACTAATAGGAGCTACAGCTGGTGGATCATGACTCAGAAAGACAAATGGGCGCAGGCACAGGTAAATTAGGTAAAGAATAAAAGATCATTCCATTTAAGAATGTCAAAGCTGGTGTCTTTCTTTGCCATCTAGTCTGTTAGTGTTATTTGTTTTTTAACTTTTTTTACTAAAGATTTGTTTTATGCAATTTTAGTGGCATGTGGTAAGGAAATCTACACAACAAAGAATTCCACTCATTGTTTTTCTTCTCCAGGAGGAGGGAGTGTTCAAGGCAGGAATGCAGGATATACATACTTTGAATAGTTGTATATAGTAATTGCTGTCTTTTTGTATTTGTTACTGTGTCCTTTTCAATATCAAACTTGTTAGAGCAAATATATATTTTGCTTGATCAGGCAGGGCTGCAAGAGGATTTTGCTGAGGGGTCATAGATATAGCAGCAACAGCAAAGAAGAAATGAAAGATGTTCGAGTGTTCGACTGATCATTCATTTCATGGAGGAACTGGCAGAGAAGATCTGAGAAGAGCTATACTGCACGAAGAAAGAGATGAATCTCCTTCCACAACAAAGATCCGATGCGGTGAATATCTGTGCGATCCTCAAACATTAATATATATTGATGACTAACTTACGCGGGGATATGGTAAATGCTCTTAAGATAGGCTGGCCATGCAAAAGATTAGTTGCAGGATGAAGTGAGGGATATGAAGGCTGCTTTGGTCAACTGGTAGCTAGATAATAAAAAATAAGAAATATTTATCTATGATTATAGCAACGAATATGTTGTTATGATTAGCACAAAGTATTGACAAGAAAAACTTGTGACAAAGAGAAAACATGTTTTACAAAACAAAATGTCATTGCACCGAACATTTTAGTTGTCCTGACACAATAAGATTTGAATTGATGTGGACTTTGGGGTTTTGGAAGAATTCTTTTTGTTCAAAATATGTTTGATTATATTGGTCATTTGTTTTCCCCTATTTCAAATTTAAATTTCCAACCATCAATAATTTATTACCTTTAAGCTTGCAACAAGTCTAACTTGGAAAGCAATTGACATCAATTTATATGTCTCCCTAGCTATATAATTCGCATAATTTAAAATAATAAATAGAATGCAGTTAACATTCTATTCCTTTGTAAATAAATAATATTTGTGTGGTACGGAGTATAGTTTATTTTTAATTGCATCCTCATAAATGTTTTGTATATTTTAAGTTGTGTACTTAACATCATAAAATTACTTTTGTGAAAAAAATATGACCATGTGCTAATATATTTTTTTATATAAAATTTGAGGTATATAAATTACATTCGCAAATTTGCGGTACTTATTTCATACCCTTACAAAGTTTGGGATATTTAAATTATTTTCCTCTTATAAAAATCATATATGTATACATCTTTTTTCATTTGTATATATGCAAATATTTTTCATATAACTTTGTTCGCTAACCAATATTAGATACATTCTACATGTTCACATATATATATGTGGTACATTTATAGCAATGTATTGCATTATGAAATATTAAATCCAATAAAAATCCTATCAAAAAGATAAAAAAGTGGAAAGCATATGTTTCTGACGTGCTAATTATATATGGAAAAAGGTTTCTTAATTCTTCGTAACTACAAAAACGGTCCTGAATTGAAAATTTGAAATTTCTGGATTCTCCACACGCTTCCTAAACGAGAAACGTAAGCTACGAGGAATTTCATGCTTAACAGATTATACTATGTACTCCCTCCGTCCCCTTTTAAATGGGACGGGAGATGGTGGCACGAGTTTTAAGAAAAGTGAGTTTGTGTGGTTGATATTAATTGATAAAGTAAGAATAAAGTAAGAATGATTTTGAGCCACACAAAGTTTATCAAATAAGGTATGGGACAATTAAATAGGGACATCCCAATATGGTAAAACGGGACATTTAAAAGGGGACGGAGGGAGTATGTTATATTTAAAAGAGAAACTCACATTTTTAATCCTTCAAATAGTACCGATATTGAAATATAATCCTGTATCCTCAAGTCTATAAATGTAGTTTCTCAAGTGACATTTACAATCTTGATAACACGTGGATTACATTTCAATATTGGTACTATTTGAGAGACTAAAAGTGTAATTTTCTGTATTTGAAAAAGAATCATTTAAGCTTCCTTCAAGAATATTTAAGAAAATCCGTCCTAAAATGTTCTTAGGGAAAGCTGTCAAATAGGTTCTTGAACTTTCATAAAAAGTCAAATAAGTCTTTATATAGTTATATAGGAGCATTGTTCTAAAAGGCGTGAGGCGTGACGAGGCGGCACACCGGAGCCTTTAAAGCCTAGGCGAGTTTAAGGGGGGATTAAGCGTGAAAAGACGTTTTAATTTTTTAGTACTTTTTCTAGATTTTATAGAAATGTTTATAAATACATAAATGTAATATTATAAAATATCATGCAAAACATAATAGTATCATACAAAAAGTTTAATGATAATGCAAACTGTTGGGATATATTATCCCGGCCTATTACTGTTCAAGAGCCCAAGACTTTACGTAGTACAGAGCCCAATCAGTAAGGCCCATTTTAGCCTATCAGGCCTGTTTCGGCCTTTGGGCCCATTTTGGCCCATTCGGCCCGTTAGGGTGGAGAGCCCCCTTTCCCCCTATTCCCTATAAATAGGAGGTTTCCCTCCATGGAAAAGGATCCTCTTTTAGCTCCATCTTCCTTTCTTCTTTTAGACTAGCTCAATACTCCATTAATGGGAGCCCAAATTGTACTATGTAATGGTGAGGAGAGTCCTAATGAGAAAGAGAGGGCTTGGACATTAGCCTAAAAAGTCCCGTGGTTTTCTCCCTTTCGGGTTTCCACGTAAAAACTGAGTGTTCATACATATATTTACTATATCGTGTTGGATTAAACTCAACACTGGCGCCGTCTGTGGGAATCTGTCCAAAAAGATTCGTGTGTTCTACTGTTCTTGAGTTTCTGCAAAAAATTCATACGAAGTGGACTGATTCTAGCAAAATGAAAAAGAAAAAATCTGGAATTTTGGTTTGGGGAAGCTCTGGATCCGCCGCCAGCAGCTCCGTCCAACAGACCGAGGAAGAAGAAAAACAAAGAAGAAGTGTTCTGGAAAGGAAAAGGAAGAAGGTACGAAGTGAAAAAGAAGAGAAAAAAGATGTTATAAACGTCCAGATCCAGATATAGTCGGAAGGAGTAACCATGGCCGACTCAGCCGGCGACGATGCTGCTCCGAGCCAGGGGTGGAGTGCGAACTCCGGTCTGCCTCGAGCTTCATCACCCCAGCCGCAGCTCCTTCATCAAGCCGAAGTACCGGTGGGCGTCGTGGCAGTGAACGAATCCACCTCAACCTCGGGACAGATGGGTTTCCGCCATTAATGGCGGTTTGGAGCTCATAAAGGTGTGTATTTCGGAGTTCCAACCACCGTACTCCGTATACTATTGCTCTGCTGCGACCACGATCCCCTCTGACCGCCCGTGCTCTGCTGCAACCACCATACCCGCCGGCAGAAGGTGGCCAGTTGGCTTCTTAGAGGGAGCTACGTCCGAATTGATAGAGGGAGCTCCACCTGCCTTCTTAGAGATACACTGTATATAATGAATATGGCCCTCAGAAGACCACGTCTGCGTGTTTGGAGCCAAGCAATGGGGGGCCACCTTCTTTGGGGAGTTTTGACCAAGTCACAATCTGTTGGAAGCTCAATTTGACCAAGTCAGACCTATTCATCTGGCCGAAACTTATCTCCAAAAGCTAAGAGCATCTTTAATGGCGAAGTGGATTATAGCTCCTAAAAAATGGACATGTCACGTGAGTAGAAGGTCCGTGAAGCTGAGGTGGATACATAAACGTTTAAATTAAATGGACCGCTCCAATGCAATCGTGGATCCAAAAATTAGTCATTCCTAAAAAACAGCCACAAGCACCCATTTATGTAAAAACAACCGCTTCGGTGTCGGTGTCCCTGGCCGGTGTTCTAGGTTCTAATGCTTCAAGTCTTCAAGATCTCAGATTCTCAGACCCAGGCTATCTGCATTCTGCACCGAACATATATGTTCTTATTCAGGCATTCTAGAAGTGCGAACCTTCCCCCTCTCATCTTCAAGCCCCACGCGTCCGCCAATCAATCAGGTTATTAGGAAATCTCAGTTCAACGTTCTGAACCTTTCTTCTAGTTTTCTTCATCATCTTCAACGGCTGGCATACCTGAAAAAGCAGCAACTTCAGCGGCTTGTCGTCTCCGTGTTTCGCCGGCGAGAAAAGATATGACCACGGAGTTTTACTTCTCTCTCGTTCATAAATATCAGGCTGTATAGAGTCACGAGAACACAGTGATGCAGTCCGGCAATTCACTATTTTCAGAGGGCAGTCTTGCTGTCCTCTATAGTTTTCCGGCGTAGAGACACCCCCTCTCCGGAAGCTCTGTAGCTCGGCGGTGATTACTCGTTTCTCCTCGATCTCCTTTCGACGTCACAGATTAGCGTCAATCTCCTTTCGGCGGTTCCGGCAGGAAACACTAAAAAAATCTGGCGACGGATCTGACGACTTCGTATTTGCATGCTGCTCCGGCATCCGGTGATGTGTGGTGTTGGAGACGCTCTGCCAAAGTCTTCTTCTTTGCCGCAGAAGGATACATACGTAGTTTGTCAATTTAATTTCGTATATGGCATAGTATGTCGGTTGAGTTTAGTGAGCAAACTTTTGTTTTTGAAAGGTGGTGAGCCAACAAAAAAATTAGATTAGGCGGAAACTATTTAATTTTGATGACTCAGCCGTGGATAAGGCCTTCTGAAAATCGAAAGAGGAATCGACAGTGTGCGATTTAGTGCGCTCCAACTCAGCAATCCATTTTGTTTAGACATTACCACTGGAGCAACAAATTAATCTGAGTGTGTATTTATTTGACGTGGCAATCCATTTTTACCCGATTCATGGTCCCATTGCGGATGCTCTAAGTGCCACTAACTCAATTTACTAGTCATTGAAGTACGAAGTATTAGAATAATACAACATGATTAAATATTGCTATTAATTTGCATCACCATTATTTATTTGGGGAATAATTTCTCCCAAAATTAAATAATGTCGGGCGACGCTCTTGTGATAATTAGTTTTCACCGTCATTTTAAGTAATGATTGGTTGTTGTGGGCCCGTCGGCCCGCTCCTGATCGGCTTTAATTAGCGAGCGGAGCATATCTGAATGGCCTTTTGGTAGGATAGTATCATTACTATTACCTGCTATATCACTATTATTTATTAGGGATAAAAATGTCCCGAAAATAAATAATGCAGAGCGAAGCTTTAGTGATAATTAGTTCAACCAACTTTTTTATTAAATATTTAATTGTTGGTGGGTCCGATTAGCCCACTCTCGATCGGCTTTGATTAGCGATCTGAGCGTCTCCAGAGGGTAGTGCCCCGATGACGCGTTTTAATTTGGGGGGTTACGCATTAGTCCGCACGACACCGAGTGCTCGAGCGATGATCGTACCCTAGTACCATCTACGCCATTAGGCGCGAAGTGACTATTGCCGAACGTGGCCTATGGGGCTCGAGGGCACAAAAGCACTCAACCTCGTTTTTCCGAGGGCAGTGCGACCGACTTGGGTCTGAGTTTGAAAACTCACAGACCGATGAATATCTCTACGTGACGTTCGGCGGGCTGCTAATTGGCCCCGCCGCGAGCTGCTACGTCCCTTAACCTCGCACGATGAGCCGGGCCGAGGGTCACGACGACCCATAGGCCGGTAATCATGGATGTTAAAGAGAAGCCAAACAGATGGCTATGTGTGTATATATATTGTCGGGCCGTGCGGCCCGTTACCATGCTTATTGTGCAGCTGAAATCACTCGACGCGCTCGAGCGAAATGATTAAACGACGCTCGGCCTGAGTCTT